TTAGGATCAAATGGTTGAAACCCTGCTTGGACTGTTGCTTTAAGTCTCTCGCTGCCTTGGCACAGCCTTAGCATTTCAAAGGAGAGTGTACCCTTAAAGTAAGCGTTTTCGACGGATTCCTTTTTCTTCACTGCTGGCTCACTTCGTACCATTGCATTTGTATTCTTGTGCAAAAACCACACCAATTTGATCCTAGGGCATGCCTAATTGTAAGTGAAACTTCTCGAATGGGTATGATTGTTTTCATCATAAAAATTTTGCCAAGCTTCAAGCAAAGGGGATTCTGCGAAACTTATTCTTAAAGAGGCAACTTTTTCTTTTTTCTCAAAGTAAATATAAAACTGTGTGTTGAAGGTGAAAGTTGAGATCCCAAAGGCGCCGCTGCTGGTCACGCAGCTCGTCCAAATCAACAAGTAAACTTGTGGGCGTAACGCTGCTGGGGGCGGAGTGCTTTCGGGTCCTGCTCAGCAACCACAGCACCTTTCGCCGTGGAAGCGCCACACATCGCTTCCTTGGCAGCCAAGTAATTGCTCCGTGTGGCGCAGGTTCTCCCCCGATGCGAAAATTCCTTATCGTAATCGCTTCCTTTAACCAATCCAGAGTTTAAATACGCGTTGCGTTTGGCAGTCTTTCACGATTTTGAGTTTTGAGTGTGTGGCTTATGCTAAAAATCATCGTTGTTATGTTTTTATGAAGTACCACATCTAGTTGCTCAGCTTACGAACACGCCGTTCAATTTGAATTAGGCTATAAAGAAATTCACAACCACCTGTTCTACAATGAGACTTAGCCTCGAGATCACGTCATCACAGTAATTTAAAAAACAGCTTTAGCTTTCCAGCTATCTGATTAACTTTGAAATGAATTATTTTCAACGCTTAATTTCAGTCCGATATCTCCGAGTTATGGATGAGCCGGGTGTTCAACTCAGTCCACGCTTCGTATTCTTTTTCGAGAGGTTTTTCTTTCTCTATTGGATTATCACAGTGCCGTTCTACATTTTACTGGTATACTTTATGATTCGTGCTCAAATCAATAAAGTCACCAATTTGACGAGTTCCTTCTACGTGTTGTGCATATCAACAGGAATTATCGACATAGGTAAGCAAAGTGTCCCCCCAAATCAGCGCTGAAAAAACACGAGACATTTGCTGCCCTTTTCAGTTACCCTTATTAACAACTACTTCGGTGCGGTATTCCCGCAATGGGGTTGGATGGAAAATGTCTACTTGGCTCTTGGTAAACCATACCTATACGTTTATTTCATCATAACTTGGTCTACGGGTGAGCTCTTCAACTTCCCTCTGATCCTTGGGATATTTCCGCCTCACTACATCCAAAAATTTGTGTCCTAGTTTCAAGGTATTATGCAAGCGCTTTCAACGTCGCTGCTGGCTTCAAATCGTCTTTCAGCCGTGCTGTTTCCTCATCGCCACCACCAGGTGGGTAGTTGTGTAAAATGTATATGATTTAGAATATTTACTCTGCAATTATGCCCGCATTGACTCTCTACATACACAAGATCTATGCTGCATAAGATCTCTTTGGAAAGAGCTCGCAAACGTTAACAATCACGACATTCATAATCGGAGACATTGTTACTTGGGATGGTAAGAAAGTCCTGAGCCGATTTTTCGAAAGCTCCAGAACTTTCGCTTATTGATGATACCTAGAATCTGCTACGTGATAGATTATCGCTGTCGATCATACTTCTCCGCAGTAGGTATATATAGCCGGGTTGCCTTCTTTAACTTTAATCATGATGTCGATTCCACAAGAGCACTTTCGAGCGATCATCTTCAATGAATGGCGCTGCGGCACAGGAGCAGTGGAAACCGTCAACATTATCAGCATCGCATTGGGAAGGGACACCACTTCCATCATCAGTGCCAAGCTCTGGTTCGCAGGCTTCGAAGGAGGAGACACGGCTTCGAAGACAAGACAAGGTTGGGAAGCCCCCAAACAGTGGAAGACTCCACCGTTCTCGGCGCTGTCGAAGAGGATCCGGAGGTTAGCACCCGCAGCCTTGTGACAAGACTCGGGTGCACCCATCCCACAGTCCTCGGTCCCCTTCACGACCTCGCCACAGGAAAGTGGTGACTCAATGGATTCCTCATGTCTTGACCGATAGCACGCGGTTCAGGCGGGTACCCATTTGTCAGTTTCTCCTTCTTTGCCCGCACCGAAAGGAGTTTTTGGAAGGCGTGATTACGAGAGATGAGAGTGGGGTCCTCTACGATTCTAACAAGCACAGTGCCGTGTGGCTCCCTCGAGGAGAAGACCCTGCCGACACAAGCAAAATCGGACCTTCACCCCAAAAGCTGTCTTCTTTGCTACCTCTGGGATTCGTGAGGAATGTTGTATTATGAGCTGCTCCCGCAAAGACATACCGCTACCGGCAGCATTTACGCCAGTCAGCTCTAGAAACTAGCGGACGCTGTTCAAGAAAAACGACCGAGACGAACTTCTGTCCACCTACTCCACGATGACGCCAGGCCCCACATAGCTAAAGAGACCCGTGCAGAATTGGAAGAGCTGATCTGGGACGCGGTTCCCCCCCACCCTATTCCCCTGACATTGCCCTCTCTGATTATCATAGCGAAGAAAAAATTCACCAAAGTTAAGAAGTTGAAAGAGCGGTCAGCGAATTTCTTTGACTCTCAGTCTGCTCAGTTCTGGGAGAAGGGGTCGCTGACCTGCCCATTAGGTGGGACTCTGTAGTGAGTAACAATGGTGATTATATTGTTGAGTAGATTCCATTGTACGCGGAATAAAAAAGCAAAGAACAAAAAAGTGTCAAACGGCTCAGGACTTTTTTACCACCCTAATACATTGAAGCTGATATGGCTAAGTATTTCACTCAGAAATGTAGTTCAAATGGTATTTGATCTCCCGACACTCGTTTTCTTCTGTTATATGTTTGTATAACTCAAAACGAAGGAGCAGTCTGGATCCCATAATATTCATTTGTAAAACATCCATGGTGTATTGGAGGCGAATGTGAGGCGCTATGGCAAGATACGGGGGCAGCTCCTAGCTTCAAGCCAAGGACGAACATCAGGGAAAATGAAAACGCTCACGCACTCTCTCATCCCCGCCTAAGCCGTTCCCATTTTACCAAATAGGAGATGTTTCACGCCGTTTCAATTGTTTTGCCTCCCCTGCCAGTGTACTGCAATAGCAACGTGTTATAAATGGGATATGGAAGGAAGGGAGGTATGCATACTGCAAAAGACGGCAGCCTTCCCCCTCCCCCTCCAGGAGTAAATAGATCGCCGCGTAGCTAACCTCAACTCTGGTCAGCGCCGCCTTGTCCGGCACCCATTCTCCAACGTGTCTGGTTCTTCATTTCAAAGTGGCATTTCATTTAAGCGATCGTACCTGTTGATTTTTTCTAGGGTTACTGCGCATAAGGTCAACCGCCAAGATCAACGAGGGTTCAATGGCCAACCTCAATTACCAATCACAATATTTGATTGTGCCAAGGTATGGCAAAGTGACAAAGGAGGGCATACTTTCAACCACCACTGCGACAACTCACCACAGACAATTGAATGGCGCATCCCAGAAGGAATTCGTATAACTTACTTCACGAACGCAAAACAGATCTTTCAAGAGGCGAATTTCGATTGCTTTTTCAGACAAACAGAGTGCAGATAGTTAGAACGAATTCGAGGTGGGATTTGATTTTCGATTTCCTAATTATGAAAATTTTGTTGTGCAGAAGAAAGTTTTCCATTTTCAAAATTTCCATTTTTTAAATAACAATATGTCCCAGCAGCCAGGATGAAAAAAAGAGGTGGACGGTCGGGGGCGACCGGAAAAAAAAAAAAAAGCGACGAAAAAAAAAGGGGGCCAAATGCTATTGGTGGGCGGGGCACGCACCGAAGTAGGCGGAGTTTGCCACGAGATTTATTGTCCGGAAGCAGTCCGGAGACCGGGAAAAAGAGGATAATGGTTGACGAAGAAAAAGAGGTTGAAAGCCGTCGATGATGGAGCGGATAGAATTTAGCTGAGAATTCAGATATTCGTGGTGTATCAAGCCAAATTTGAAAATTTTCGTCGCACCATCAAAATTCGCCGCAGATCTGTGTTGCGCGCGCAATGCGTGCGGCGCCAACTGGTTTAATAAATAATAAGCATTCGCGATTAGCACAATCCTTGTAGATTTCAACTGTTTTTTTTATCAGTTCTTATTATATCAATTTTTGAAGATTTGGAATTGAAAGCTTGCGTTTCATGAGGCTAGTGTTAGAAAGTGAAAGACAGAAAAACGAAAACGGGATTATTCTTTGAAAGAGTGGTCGCGTGTGCACAAAAACGAAACAAGGGTTCTTCAAACAAATACTTTCGGAATAAGCATTTAGAAGTGCTAATCTTCTGATTTCTAATCAGTCTTAGAGATCTGCAAAAAGTTATTATGAAGGAGGAAGTTATGAACGTTTAAATGCACGAGTCTGGATTGAGTCAAGGAATTTGGCGCTTGAAAGTGAGTGCAGAGATGCGATACGGAAACCCAGTGAAGAAAAAAGGGGGAGGAAGCCGTCGACAATATCGAAAGTAAAAGTTCTTTCCCGTCGCGGGGAAGGAGGCTTGCCCAGGAGGAATGCGTGTCTTAACGAGTTCCTGGATATGCCATCCATTGCTTGGCTCTGTGAAAGTAGCTGATTAGGCAATCAATCCAGCTGATTCTTCAAACGTTTACGCCAGCCACGCACCACGTCGCTCATGTCGCCTAAATGATAGCAGGCAGAGCAGGGTCAACCCTACGTTGTTACGAGTAACAACGGGGGGGGGGTCGTACCTGGTTGAGTTTGTAGGAGGGGGGGTCGTACCCACTTTAGTTGCTCGAAATCAGGGCGTGGGATTGAGGGGTCGTAAAAATTTTCGAAAAGTAACAACGATAGGACAGACCCTGGGGCAGAGTTGTCATGGCCGCGCGCTTTCAAGTCACGAGAGCGGCATAACCTCTATGGCTGCAGACCCAGTCATAGTACCGACGGTTCGTCCTGGGTCTGCAGCCATAGAGGTTATGACTGTTGGCTCGTGACAGCAAGAGATGCAAGCTAGTCCAGACAACTCGTCCAAAACACCAGTCCTCATTTCAGATAGGAAGAGTGAGAGTCCTTCTTAAAGGCTTCTTCGGCGGTTTCTTTGTTCCTTTTTCATTTGCAATCAACTCGGCATCCACAGCTTCATTGTCGACCGCTTTTACCCCACCAAATCGGTCTGGGGATGTTGCTTTAATGGTCGATTTGTACTCGATTCCATTGTGCTGTTTTCACTACGGTGGTCATGTTAATTGACTCACCAGTTGAAAAAGGAAACAGAACCGGCGGAAAACCTTTCTGAGAGCTTTTTTCTTGTTGTTGGTGGAATCGCGAAACAGACAGAGACAGTCTGAAAACAGGGAGTGTAAAAGGGAGAGCATAAACGAGCGATGCGAGAAAGCATTTCACAAAATGAAGAGGTAAGGAAACTACTAAAGTAGAGTGACTGTCAACAAAACTGGGATGCTCACAGGTTTCGCGGTGTTAATGCTTCTCAATGGTATGATTATATTAAGATTCTGCACTGCATATAGGTGAGACTGGCTCTTCCGTTATGCATTCTCAGCAGCCAACGAAGCCAAACTTTAAACCCGTGTTGAGGTTTCATTCCAACGCGATGTCGTGGTTGAGGTGTCAGGCATTTTTGCCTACCAGTTTTTTACCACATCCAATCATTTGCTCTTCTAGTCCCACGCTGTTGGATAGTCTGTAACATTTTTTATTTTATTTAAATGGACTGTTAATTGGAGGGGCTTCCATCCATTGAGCAGTTCTCAATGGAGGAGGGGGGTCGTAAGGAACGGCGATCCCGCTCTCCCGCGGGCCCACTTTTTAAAGATGTTTTTGCGTCAGGTAGGGCTCTCAGTAGTCACCTTGGAGGTGGATTCCACGGTAACCGAAGGTCACAGAAGGGAAAACTGCATAGTTAGGAAACAGGCGGACCGTCGGAGGGAGCTGACCGATGCGCCTAGGTTGTGTTACATAGTACTCCAACGGGGGTCGTAGCTTGGTTCAGCTTGGAGGGGGTATACCCTCCCCCCCGCTCGACGGCATTTTTGGAGGAAAAAGTGGGCGGGGTTTGGTGGGTTGAGTGGTATCAGAATTAAGTACTATAGAGACGATGATGGTGGTCGAGGTGTCGAAAAGGGGGTCGTATCAAATCCACCTTGGGGGAGGGGGGTCGTAAAAATTTTCAAAAAGTAACAACGATAGGACCGACCCTGGTCGAGGGTCGACGCAATGTGCAACGGCATGGAAGAT